TCCGTACGCAAGGAAGTAAGCACAAGATGCCGAAAACCCTTAGCAGGATGCAGCGCACCCTTCATGCGACTCGCCGAATATCTCACGGCGCTTCGCGCTTGGTGATGTGAGAGCCTGGTCCGGTGAGAACCCGGCGTGCTCCGCCCCGGCTATCTAGGGATGCGAGGTCAATGGTCTAACGACTACGGCATGCACGACAATGAGTAGACCCCCCCCCCCCCCCCGGGAATATCGTACTATCAGCAGATTAACAACTATTATGAATACCAAAAACAAATCGCAATCCCGTACGTACCGTAGTTGCAGAGCTCGTAGTTGTTCAAATAGTTGCATTCTCCATCGGAAAAATCTTCCGGGTGGCAAAAGCAGTCGAACAAATCAGAGGCAAATGCGCAATCATCGAGATACCGATCGTAGAGGTACTCCCGCTCGTCGTAGGTGCTGTAGTAGGATGAATAGTAAGTGGAAAGCTCTCTTGATTTTGGTCGAGCGTTCACCACATCCTTCTCGGCGGATGTTGACGTGCTTCCCCGGGAAAAAAGGCACAGCGTCAGGAGCCCGAAGGCCCAGCAGCTGATCGTCCACTGACTTGTAGCCGTCGCAAAATCAAGCTTCGTCCGGCCATTCCTGAGAAACATGCGAGCAAAGGCGGCACATGCACATAGCAACGAAAATTGTGTATACATTGTAAATTCTCCAACAGAAAAGCGCATTGAATCTAAGCCTATCCTTGCCTCGCCTTTTCTGGCGTTGGCCTGCTCAAACACCTCGAAGATTCCCGCAAACTGAGGCTGTCACACTTTCGGCAGTTTTTGTATAACGACCATGGGCCGCCCATGGAACGCCCACTAGACGCCCTTGAGACGCCCATGGGCGCTCGAGTGCCCACGGGCATTCCATGAAACGCCCATGGGCGAATGCTCATGGGCAGTTCCACTGGCGTCTCATGGGCGTCTCATGGAACGCCCATGGAACGCCCGTGGACCCCCGTGAGACGGGTGTTGGTTGCCCTATCCAACCCAACCTACATATAATCCTACCCCTACCCCTACCCCTAACCCTCAATGACGACAGACCACACATCGAGGTGGCGTCAGTTAAGGTCTAGGTCACAGGGCGTTGAATAAGGGCTAAAGGGCCAGGTCCTAGCGTCGGTTAAGTTCTAAGTCCTAGTGTTGGTTAGGGCTAGGTCCTTCCATGGAAGCTGCCATACTATGTACAATCACTAGTGTACAAGACCCATCTCGTGGGCGTTCCACGGACGCCCATGAAACCGCCCATGAGCAATTCCGTGGGCAGTTCCAAGAGCGTCTCATGGAACGCCCATGGGCGTGTCATGCGGGCCTCATGGGGGTCCATGAGCGTTCCATGGGTGTTCCATGAGACGCCCATGTGACGCCCATGAGACGCCCATGGACGTTCAACTAAAACTCCCAGTAGTGTGGCACCTTGGTCCCACGGGGCGATCGTTTTACGCCCTAATTTTTACACCCTGCGGGCGCTTGCGTGCCTGCCCCCCACGGCTGTAGCTATTCCAGTAACAACTTCGCCGTTCGTTGCTGTTGTCGCTAGTTGTTGTTGCCGGTTTGTTCTTCAGTCAGTCAGGTGGATCTTTTGCTACAGGCGCATCGGTACTGGAGAACCTTCCTTACAGAGGGCGCCCGCAAGTAAGAAACGTCACACCCGCAAAAACGGGAAGAAGGGAGTTCTGGGCACGGAGTAACCTTCCGCCAGGTGTATGTTATGTTCCCACGTGTGTGTACTGTAATTTGCGGCGAAAACAGGGTGCACGGGCAGTCAAAAAGCCTACGGGCACCCTACAGTGGACAGATTTTGCTATGTACGGAAGACATGAAGCGACACCATCCCGCGTGCAGCCTCCGTCTACTCTGTTGCAACTGCTGTTGTGGCAGAACTTGCAGTTGGGCCGCCCGCTTTGCCCACAGCCGCTGGCACATGGCGGTTCTTATGCCCTGCTCCGTGGCAGCCTTGGTGAACCCTTTTCGCGTACCTGTGCTGGTATCGTCGTCCCTGAAGGCCAGCAGCCATTCCTCTGCGTATTCGTGAGAACTCAGCTAGACCGAGCGAGGTAAGGTGTAGGGGGGGAGAGCTGTTGTCTGTGTGGTAAGTTCCCGGACATGCAGCGGGACAACAGGAGGTGCGCCACGATATGGCGGGGCTCCCTCGCAGTCTGGTGTTTTGCCCTGTCCCAGCACGGCCGGCAAACCACCAGCGACACCCGGCCATTGCTGCTGGTACTCCCTAGCCACCCTTAGTGCTGCATTTTGAGCCCTTGCGAGCGTGGTGTATTCCATCCCGGAGCGTTTGCAACTGGCCGACCTGCGAAGTGAATAGATATCTTCGAGAGAACGAAAGAAGAGGGGAGGACGCAACAGCACACCAGCAGCCGTGAACACCTACGGGCAAGCAGGTAAGATCTAAAGTGGTTCAGGTGGCCTGTCTTCCTCTGTTGCTTGGTCTAGGAAAGGGGATCGCTTGTCTCGCCACCCACGAGAAAAAAACTGACCCCTCTAAGGGTTCCCAATAAGGGTGTGAGCTACCTCGGACCGATGGAAGGGGTTGAACCTTCTCTCAACTGTAGGGACAGAGGAGACTTCCGGAGCGATCGGTGGGGACCGCTGGTGACAGACAGCGGGACAGAGTAGTTTCTCTAGGAAGAGCCAGTGGTGGTCTCTGGGAAGAGAGGGAAAGGGAAAAGAGTGAGAGACGAGGGGGGAGGCGAGGTGTGCACAGCGCACCGATCCTCAGCCCTGTCGACGCAGAACCAGCCTGACGTGGCGCAGTCTGCGCTGGCGTGATGACGCGCACAGCATCGGTACGGCCGGGGCTTTATCTCCCCGGGCGTGAGAGGACAAGACCATATGCCGGGCAGTTATGTCCGGGCGGGTGTAGTATGTGCGGTAGCCGGTCATGCGCATACAGTGACATACATGCGCATGCGGACCGCACGGAAAGATCCGCAGAACCAGCGGAGGAACAGTTAGACAGAGGACAGAGGGCCTCAAGTGGAACCTA